GCAGATCAATTACTCAGTATCTTTTCACACACGTTACATTCCCCTCTTTTATATACCAGCCTACCCTATCTAGTAAATACTAGAGCATTCATGAAGAAACAAGTGCACACCACTGTATGTCTAAGGGGTCCTAATAATGTACCAAGTTGGTGTAATTTCTCGTGAATATTGGATTAACTATGAAATATTGGTACTAATGACATAAAATTGACTGACTTGGAACATTTTCAGAATAAGTACTACCATTAAAATGCACTTTAGGACACTGTTCTCTATTAACCCTATTTCGACGGGTCAATGCCAAAGGCCATGTCGTTGCATTTGTTGACTTGCATTCAAAATTTTATTGAACTATTATTTTATGAATCTATGTTAATAAATTTGGTATCAAATTGTAAATTAGAGTTAAAATTTTAGTATTATTCATTAGTTAATATCTTTATTTAAAGTAAATATTAAAAAACAGCTAAACATCGATTTTTTGTATGTCACGTGGTATGTGATGTCAAAATATACAGTTTCGTACGAATTAGGAACTCAAACTATCGATATTAACAAGCTAGAATATAAAATAATATCGTCTCATATTTTTCTATTTCCAAAGATATCGCTCCTGTACTGAATTAAACTCGGTGGCCCCGCCTTCCATTTTGGAAACGGTCCCTTATATACACTTACTTCTATATATGATATGAATAACTAATCAAAAGCTCAATGTCCCCCTATCGGTTTTCTCAGCCATTTTGACGTGTTATTGTGCTAATTTCATTCTTTTCACATATGATTTCAAGATGAGGCAAGTCTTTTGGCGAGTTCGTAATTTCATATTTTGTTAGAACCAAATACAGCTTAGTTACTACGCTTGATAAATTATGGTGGAATTCTATGGTATCGATATAGTAATCTAAAAAAAATTCTTTTTACATCCTCCACGTGGGAAATTTCATAAGGCATATAAACTACGACAAGCAGCAAACGAGTACAAAGGTCGTAACTAGAAGAGAGAATTATTTGCTTTACTGTTCTATGTTTTAAATAAAATAAGTTTAAGAGCTTATTTGTACATAGAAATATTGTTTATGCATATATAATAGTTGAAATGTGACTGCATTTTATAAAATACTAGTCCACTAAAATACAGCCAAGACAGGTTACTTTGTAAAGAGTAAAAGGTTAGTTATATATTATTGGATATGGTAACACGAGTGCACGTGCGGCGCGTCATTGTAACTTCTGTATTGTTAAGCCAGGCATAGTTGGAAGGTCAATATAATAAAAAATAATAAATGTATAATGTTACGAGATTTAAGCTAGTTAGACTAAAAACTTGTGTTTTCGTGTTATAATTTGTAGTAATTATAGAATGAAAAAGCTAATTTATATTTTTCCTAATTTTTTTTTATTGAAGTTAAGAAGTTGGTCATGTGGAACCAACCCGTACAGGGAGTACACTAGAAAAATAACAAAAATAGTTTTTTAAACAAAAAAATTTGATAATTATCTGATACAATGAAGATTTCGCATGTGATAGTTGAAAATGTTCTAATGCATTAAAGTATTTTTAATCTTAAAATGAAAATTGCTTTGAATGTTGGATAGTCAACATTCTGAAAGAAAAAAGTTTTACGAGAATTATTTAATTAAAAATTCTTGATACTTAATTTAAAAACCTGATATTTTGTGTATGAAAACATTGTAATGTTTATCAATAACCTGCAAAATTTTGTAAAGATTTGCATACATTATGAAAAATCATAGTATAATTACTCTCATGAATACTTTCGTGGTTACGAGCTGGGTGGATTTCACCCAGCCCATAATGGAAGGAGTAACTTGTATTTAACAATCATGGAAAATAAGATTTCTTTTACACTGCATTTAGTTAGTGTCTGTTTTCTAACAGATTCTTAATATTATACTCTATTTCCTTTTTTTTTAATTTTACTTTTGTAACTGAGGTCTTCTGATTTACTAAATATTTATATATATATATATATACTCGTTTCTGTTACG